AATCATTGAACAAATTATATAAGTGAGGGAGGAAAAAAACTCCCTTGAAGGATAATTCTAATAATTTAATCAGATACTTCACCTTCAAAAAGATGGAAAAGCCAGGCACGGTGGTGCATACACGTAATCCCAGCAGCTTGGGAGGAGGTAGGAGGGTCGTAAGTTCAAAACCAGCCTCATCAACTTAGGGAGGCCCTAAGCAACTCAGCAAGACCCTGTCTAAATAAAAAAGGGCTGGGGATGTGGCTCAAGTGGTAGCGCGCTCTCCTAGCATGCGTAAGGCACTGGGTTCGATTCTCAGCACCATGTAAAAATAAAATAAAGATATTATATCCACCTAAAACTAAAAATAAATATTAAAAAGGGGGGGCTGGGGATGTGGCTTAGTGATTGAGTACCCCTGGGTTCAATCCCTAGTACCAAATAAATAAATAGATGAAATATAACTGGACACAGTAACTACTTTCCCAAGAGTTAAGAATGGAAAGAGTAACTTCATAGTGGAGAAACCTGACAAACTACCTCAGTCTGTAATTCCAGCTACTATGGAGGCAGGAAGATGGCAAGTTCAAAGTTTGAGGGCAGCCCAGTACCCCACCACACCCCTCCACAAACACATGGCTTCAGTTTATGCACAGATTAAAATTAATGTGCAGAATTCTTATTTTCAGTGAGATCTGTGTTTATTTATTTAGACACTGGAGATTGAACCCAGGGTTATTCTTCCTCTGAGCCACAACCCCAGTCCTTTTATTTTTCGAGACACGTTCTCACTAAATTACTGAATGGCCTTGCAGAGTCACTGAGACTGGTCTCAAACTCGTAATCCTCCTTTCTCCTGAGATTAAACATTTTTTTAAAAATAAGATTGTTGGGCTGGGGATGTGGCTCAAGTGGTAGCGCGCTCGCCTGGCATGCGTGCGGCCCGGGCCCAGGTTCAATCCTCAGCACCACGTACAAAGATGTTGTGTCTGCCAAAAACTAAAAACAAAAAATAAATATTAAAAAAAAAAAATTCTCTCTCTTAAAAAAAATTAATAAGATTGCTACCTGATTTACAGCCTCTTGTGAAAAAAGAGTTTCCAGCAGAGAATTATCAATTTTCCTGTATCTTACACTTGTGTCAGATGGCGGTTCCACTTAATCACTATGTTATAAACCTTCCCCAAGCCTCTATGAACCAAGTGCTTTTGCCAGGGGATAGACGACTTTGAATCTTCAGTTCCAAGAGCATAGCCTTAAAGGGCCCCGTCTGATCAAATTTGCCAAACATACCTTCTTAAATTCAACCTTCAAAGAAAGTCCCATCCTACTTCTTTTTTTTTTCTCCTTGAGCATTTTTTTACCCAAAAGACAACTACTGTTTTTGTCTGTATGTGAAACTGCCCCATTATCTTAAATGACAAATATTTATAGATAGCCGTGGTCATGCAGAAACGTGTTCATAATGTCTCTTAGAAAACTATAGCTTTTCATTATATCCTAATAGGCTTGTTTGAAGTTGGATACAGAGAACAAATTGCTGCATTATAATTATAGACTCCTTGTTCCAAGTATAAGAGACTTTGATGGTTTGTGATGATAATTTTGTGTATCTATGATTCACAGCAAGACATTTTCCAAAATACCCAGTGTTGTTGTGTAGATTTTCACACTTTCACAGACATAATGTGCAAAGTACAAGTCATTAGTTATTAATCCCAGCTAGTGATGCACGTACCACATTTCACTAAATTCCTTGGGTCATAAGGACAAAACAGATGAACATCTAAGCCTTGGCCCACACCTCATGTTGACTGACATTTTGCTGAACCCACAGTAATCCAAGAAGGACTTTCAGGCAAGTACTTGAGAACCTACTAGAAAACTACATAATAATTTTTAAAAAATAAATAAAAGCTGTGTTTTAGAAAAGGAGGAATATGACTATGATGTAATGTACACCTTGAACTTAACTGGCCCAGAAGCCCACCAAAAAGATAAGGGGCAAATCAAATTTTTGCAAAGAAGGAATAGGAAGACCAGGCTTTTATTTATAGTGACCATTTCAGCATATTTTGTAAAATTATCCAGGGCTACCCTAATTATCTACTCTAATATTTTTAATTTTCTTCCCCTGATGTTGTGTTTTTAGTTTGGTCACCTCTGCTTAACCACAGTGCCCTTCTGCCCCAGAAAAGAAGGGAGAGGTGAAAGGGCAAACCATCACTGTTCATAAACATTCTTCAGCTAAACGTTGAAGCAGCCCTTCCCTAATAGCATTTTTTTTATTTTTATTTATTTATTTTTTTTTTAGAGAGAGAGAGAGAGAATTTTTAGTATTTATTTTTTAGTTTTCGGCGAACACAACATCTTTGTATGTGGTGCTGAGGTTCGAACCCGGGCCACACGCATGCCAGGTGAGCACACTACCGCTTGAGCCACATCCTCAGCCCAAAAAACTTTCTTTCTTTATTATTTTTTTTAAAATTTTTTGTAGTGCTGGGGATTGAACCCAGGGCCTTGTGCTGCAGGCAAGCACTCTACCAACTGAGCCAAATCCCCAGCCTGATAGCATTTTTTAAATGCAAACATTTAACTCGCCCAAGTCTGCAAGAGCCTTGCCTAAGTCTGCAAGAGCTTTGCCTAAGTGTTTTCTCCCATTTGCCAACTCTGGCCCCCTGGAGAAAAATGCAGAATTAACAACACTCCAAGTGACTGATGTACCTCACCACTAAAATATCATGGGACCAAATCCTCAATCCAGTTCAGTTCATGGGCATTTCTTGAGACCAACTGGCTGACTGCATGTAATGGTGTAAGTCACAGGGGAAAGCAAACTCCTGAAGCAAGAGTTGTCCAAATGCAAAATAGGAAAAGGGATGTGTCCTTCCAGGCATTTCATTATCCACAGGTGAGGAAGACATGGTCCGCACCACCTGTTTGGCCTTCATTCCCATGAAGGCAAAGGTCAGATAAAGACTGTCATCTCAGTTAAATAAAATATCATATTGATTCTTAACTACTGAGGTCAAAGCTAAGAGCAATGACTACTTTGGCAAATCCGGCTCTGTTCCCTGGCTGAATTTGAGCCACATCAAGTTTAATCTCTAAATTTAGCCTCAATCCAGCAGTTGCTCAAATTAGTTCAGTTCTCAAAATGACCTAAGAGGTCATCTCACAACCAGAATGGACCCAAACCTTCAGGCTCATTTATAAGACACTTCCTGTGTGCCAGGCCCTAAACAGCACACCATCACATTTTGGGTACCAGGGATTGAACTCAGGGATGCTAACCACTGAGCCACATCCCCAGTTCATTGTTTTTTTAGACACAGTCTTACTAAGTTACTTAGGGATTCACTAAGTTGCTGAGGCTGCTTTGAAAATTGACATCATCATATTTAACCTCCCAACAATTCTAAGAAGCGCAACGGTCCACCTTCTTCAGATATAGAGACCATGTTCCATGAGAGCAAGGTCACAAAGCTGGAAGTGGTGGGAAGAACTGAATCACATCTATCCAACTCAAAGCTGATGATCTTTAACTCCTTTTAGCTGTGTTGAACCAGGGTTGAAAACTTTGATGGACATCCTTATGTTTTTGTTTTATAAATTCCATTTTAATACCTAGTGTGTACTATATGTTGTGTTCAGGTTTTTGTTATTATTTATTTATTTATTTTTGGTACCAGGGACTAAACTCAGGGTCACTCAACCACTGAGCCACATCCCTAGCTCTATTTTGTATTTTATTTAGAGACCAGGTCTCACCAAGTTGCTTAGTGCTTCACTTTTTGCTGAGGCTGGCTTTGAACTCACCATTCTCTTGTCCCATCCTCCCTAGCTGCTAGGATTACAGGTGTGCACCTGTATATGTAATTCTTTAAAAACATGTTAAAATTATACTTTTGATTGGATAGCTGTTAAGTTTTCCTCAGCTTCTAAGGATAACACTTGGATACCATGATGAAATGTGTTTAGAGCTGATGGTAAATTTCTTACTCTGGGACTACTGCCCTAGAGATATTCTTTGTTCATATAATAATTTCAGATACCAGAACTGCCAAGAATATTTTAATGTGAGAATGACAATGGTAGCCAGCTCAGTGGCACATGCCTGTAATCCTAGCAGCTCAGGAGGCTGAGACAGGAGGATCTTGAGTTCAAAGCCAGCCTTAGTAAAAGTAAGGTGCTAAGCAACTCAGTGAGACCCTGTCTCTATTAAAATATAAAGTAAGGCTGGGGGTGTGGCTCAGTGGCCAAGTGCCCCTGAGTTTAATCCCTAGTACAAAAAAAAACAATTGACAGTGGTGAGGGGAAATGCACATAACCAAGAGATTAACCTCTGATTCAGTTTTTCTCAGCTTTTTCCCAAAAGAAATCTATTTTTTTCCTAATAGCATTGCTAATAAATTTTAATAGGGAAAAAAAAAAAAAACTGTGATGGATAAATTGAGGCTCCTAGGCATCAGCCTGGCCTTTGGACACCACCCTACCTAAATAAGCCCAGCACCAGCTCTCATCACTCTTCTTTACATTCATATCCATTCATTTCACAAAGACTGACAGCTTCCACTGTAGTCCAACACTGTGATGCCACATGGAACTAGACAAACAGAAGTCCCTGTCCTCAGAGGGCTAACTTGTTTCGGTCTCCCCTACCAAAACATGCATCCACCTTGTTTTCCACACTCCCGGCTCCTAGGGCAGCCTGGGTACATGGGTACAACAGACAATAACATCTGTCAAAGAATCCCACTCACGACATCCCCTGCAACAGCTCAGGCACTGATTGGGTCAAACAATTCACCAAACTGATTTGTTCCCAGGCAGAGTTCTTTATGGTACGGTGACTCAGTGCTATCCTGCAAATGGCCATTATATAAAAGATTTAAATAAAATCTCTGACATTTCAGTATTTTTTAAACACTGAGTTCATTTTTCTGTGCCCAAAAACTCAGTACAAGATAGCCACAATGCTACAGCAAGCAGCAAATGCTCATTCAAACAAACTGGACTTAAAATAGATTTTTATTTGCAAAATTAAAAAAACAAAAACTAATCAGAATTGTGTTCCTTCTTCTTTCTTCTTGTCCCTTTTGAGTAAGTCCCAGACTCTGTTCTCTCTTGGCCATGTTCAGTCTGTTGTGTCATCCACTCCTTTTCAAGCTGCTTCAACATGTCTGGAGTGAGGAGTCCTTGCTGCACCAATCTGGAAGCGAGGGATAGCTCCCCAGCGCTGGCGCCAAGCGGCTCAGCAGCTTTACTCCCTGCAGTTTTGGTGCCACGTGCCCTTCTAGCTTGGCTCTTCAAGGTTCCTGACAAACGTGACTGGCTCCCTGCTAATGAGCTTTCCAGATGCAACAGCTTACGTGTCTCGGAAATTTTAATCAGTTTGGTGATGTTGTGAACACCGTCCTGGATAACACCATCCAGCTCCTTCTGCAGGTCTCGCACAAGGCTGGTATCTGGAAACATGTCCATGAATCGGTAGCTGGGAAAAGGACACGATATATTATAGCAACAGCTCTGGACTAATCTCAGTGGCACACCTACGTTAATTCCAAATGTTTTCTTTTTGCAAACTGTCCAGTATCTTTATTCAACTTCTACTTCTTCTCCAACATACCTGAGGAATATGTCATGATGAAAGTGGGTTGGTATACTATCTCAAGTAATCTTTATATGCTCCCCTAGGGATATATACCCCTCCTTTGAGAAGCCGAGCCCTCTAGAGCACGGATTCTCAAATGTCAAAAATCTACAAGTGAACCAACTGAAGATACTGTTAAACTGCAGAATCTGATTAAGTCTGGGATGGCCCTGAGATTCTTTATTTCTAAAGCTCCCAGGTGATACCAACACTTGTGATCCAAGGACCACTCTTTGAGTAGAAAGGGTCTAGTGGATCTTCTCACTTGGCTGTCTCAATGATAACCACAAAACTCCTGAAGACTTTTTTGGAAGAAATATAAGCCAGGCTCAAGTGCTTTTATTGACAACAAACATAATATAGAGCTTCTTGCAAATATGTGCTGAGTTTGAAACAAAAAACAAACAAAAAACCTCCCACCATTCATAAAACCTTTGATTTGCCCTATTACTTAGAAACAAGAACACATAAAGGAGAAAATTGGTACCTTAGCCACAGGTAAAGATCCAAGACGTCATGGACAGCTTCAAGATCCATGAGGTCTTTAATGTTCTTAGGTGGTTGTAGAGGCCATTTGATGTATCGGCGTAACCATGCAAAGGTCAAAGGCTCATTCCTGCTATACTGCCTGGCAAACTGAGGAATAGTTTGGTAAAAGAATTAGAATTCCCTTAAGTCTATAATTAGAAAAAAGCACAAATATTACCTGTGGTTGTGTTTCAATAGACAGGCTTGTTTCTTTGCTCCTTGATATTTTTTTACTTTTTTTTGGTGGTACTGGGTATTGAACCCAGGGCCTTGTGCACACAAGGCAAGCACTCTACCAACTGAGCTATATCCCCAGCCCTGGCTTTTTTTACATTTTTAAAAACATTTAATCTACACACACACACACACACATTAAAAAATAAAAAAAAAAAAACCTTAGTTCTTTAAATAAAAAAATTAAATTCTTTAAGAAAAAAAAAAAAGATGACTTTCACCTTTTTCCAAAGTTAGGGCAATAATGTCTGCATTAAAAGTTATAAAAAGGGGCTTGGTGCAGTGGTGCACACCTGAAATCCAGCAGCTTGGGAGGCTGAGGCAGGAGGATCACAAATTCAAGGCCAGCCTCAGTAACTTAGTGAGGCCCTAAGCAACTCAGAAGAAACGCTATCTCAAAATAAAAAAATTAAAGGGGCTGGGGATGTGGCTCAGTGGTTAAGCAACTCTGGGTTCAATCCTTGGTACAAGAAAAAAAAAAAAAAGAGTTTAAACTCTGGCTTCAAGTCAAAGCTGATTTCAAATAATTCATTTCCTAATTAAGGCAAATTATCTCTCAATGCTTAACCTAAGCAAGGCCAATACTTCAGAGAGGCAGAGCCATTTTAGATTCCTTTGGCTAAATACTCCTCTAATTTTGTTAAATTTAGTCTGGTGCATTCTGCCAATTTTAATAAATGCCAAGTCAGACAGCCATGATGAATGGAAATGTGACCATGCTAACCTGTTAGGACACAACAAGCAGGGGTTCTCAGGCTCTCTTTATAAAGGCAGTGCCCTTAAGAACTCTGGCCACAGAAACTAGTGGAAGTCCAAGTTCAGGGGCTGAGTGGAGAGGGCAGGGAGAGCACTAGTTTTAGTATCTCACTGTCCACTGAGATACTTCCACTTGCAGCCAGCCCTAAAGGAGCTCTGGGGAGAACAGTTTCAAAACCACTGTCCTGAGAGGCATGGGAGGCCATCTATGGGACTGAGCTCTTTATACTTCAGTGATGGTGGAGATCAAGAGCAAAGGGAAAACTTCTAGATTTCAGAAGTTTTTAAACAGAAAACATATGTGTGTATGTTGATTGTACAGTTCCAGAGATTCCTTACTCCTTAGCAAAGAGCTCCTGCTTTGTTAGAAGAGCTTAAGAGATAGTGCAAATGAGGCTGATGCCAGCTCCATTCAGGTCAGCTTCCTCAGTCTCAGACCGTTCTCTAACCTCTGACCTTGTACTAACTTTCCCCCAAATGCCAGCTCCAGGAAAAATATTTTCTAGGTAAACCCAGACATGGAAGACCTCTAAGACATATTGTTAAGGAAAAAAGGCAATTTGCAGAATAACTTGCTATGATAACATCTATGGGAAACACATCCACAGGACAAAACTAGAATTCCTATGTGCACATGCATGCAGGCAGACGCCACGGAAAAGGTCTGCAGAGACGCACACAAACACATCAAAGCAATCATTTCAGAGAACCGAGAGTGGGAGGTAGCCAAATTTATCCACCTGCAATGTTTTAATGTTATACTAAGAGAAAGTATTATGCATTTTATAATTTAAAATATAAATTTACACCCAGGCACGGTGACACATGCCTATAATCCCAGTGGCTTGGGAGATTGAGGCAGGAGGACCTAGAGTTCAAAGCCAGCCTCAGCAACTTAGTGAGGCCCTAAGGAACTCAGTAGACCCTGTTTCTAAATAAAATACTAAAAAGGGCTGGGGATGTGGCTCAGTGGTTAAGTGCCCCTAGGTTCAATCTCTGGTACCAAAAGAAAAAGAAACCCCCCCACACACATATTTATATTTAGAAATAGATTTGGTTAAAAGAGCTAGTGCACAGAATACAAAGGCCTCTAGAGGAGTTGGCAACGATGAGTCTTCAGAGGAAGAAGAGGCCTCTGTAGGGTTCCCCTGCCCTCGCTGCCCTTTCCCACAAAGTCCTGTGCTCCTCAGAAGTCACAGATTCACATCCCTACACAAACGGGTTAAAAGGAAGGGGGCTGGAACCTAGGCCCCATACTCACACAAGACAACCACCCAGCACAGTGCCTTACAGTTAAGAAAACTGAATATTGTTGCCACTACTGCAATCCCTTTCCCTTTGAAATAGTTACCCCACAACAATAAGGAAAAGGTTTGCCATCAGGCAAAGTGCCTTCCCTCAAAATATATTTTTAAATCATTTTTATTTTAGCCTCTTTTTAAATTTTTTTTTAAATTGTAGATGGACACAACATCTTTATTTTGTTTATTTTTATGTGTGGTGCTAAGGATAGAACCCAATGCCTCATGCATGCAAGGCAAGCGCTCTGCCACTGAGATACAACCCCAGTCTTTGTTTTAGCTTCTTCACAGTGGCTACCATATGAGCCCAAATGTAAGACAAGGGTTCTACCTCCCTCAAAAATTATCTGTAAAGCCAGGCATAGTGGTGCCCACCTGTAATCTCAGCATTTTGGAAGGTTGAGGCAGGAGGATGACAAGTTTGAGGTCAGCCTAGGCAACTTAGTGAGAACTTGTCTCAAAATATGAAGTAAATAAATAAAAAGAGCTAAGGATGTAGCTTTGCAGTAGAGCACCCCCTGGGTTCAATCCCCAATACTGGGGAAAAAAAATTATCTGTGAGAAAAAGAGTCAAGAATATTTAAGTTTTTAGAAAGTCTCTTATATTTATATGGTACTCTCCCAAATGTTTAATTTCAAATAACAAACAATTATTTGGAAAAAAAGGTGTCCATCTTAAACAAGCCAAAATAGCAGAGATGAAGGCTCACCTGTAACAATGAGGAGCACACAAAGGGCTGCTTCTTATTGATAGGGGCTGTGCAGAACACGTATCTCACTCGGAGACTTAATGGGATATGCTGGATTAACTCTGCAGAAAACTTAAAATCATCCATATTGCAGACAAAATACTGCCCATCAACTTGTGAGAAGTCTACAAAAATATCCTGGGGGAGGAAAAATATATGAAGTTACTGGACTGCATCAATGGGCAGGAATAAAGTCTATAGAAGACAATGTCTTTAATCCACAAGAGACTTCCAGAAAGGCCTGCTTTATTCACTGCCTCCCGAAGCTAAGAGATCTCCCCCACAGCTTCCCAACCTGAAACTCAGACAGAACATTCCTCAAGAAACTCCCAGAGGATTTTGAAAGAAAGTCTTCATCTACAAGATAAGTTACATGGAGAGCAACTTTACAAAGGCAGACTATCCACCCAGACCCATGAGGTGGACCAGTAACTCTCTAGCATACCACCATTTTTAGATGAGACTTCAAAGTTTCTACTTACGATGAGATTGGAAAGTGTTGTATCAGGGAGGTGGTAAGCAAACATTTCAATCTGTTCAGCAGTTGGATGAAGACCTGCTGCCTTTAGGAAAAGTAAAAAATAAAATAAACGTGAGCTGATTGTTTTGGGTTTTTTTGAAAGGATAAATTTGCTTAAATTATTTCAAATTAAAGTCCTACATTTAGGCTTATCTCTCACCAAAGGAGTTAAATGACAAGAATTTGAGTAAAACAGAAAACAAAAAAAATCATCATTTTACTACTTATTACCAATTAGAAAAGTTGATGAGATAATTTAATAAAAATAACAGATGATTCTCATTAAAGAAACAGTCTTGTGCTTTTATTTTAGTCATTTTCCTAAAACCTATTATGAGCTGATGGAGTACCAAAATGCTTTACTGGATAAAAATTTTCCAGGTCTCAATTCTCTCCACTAAATAAAAGTAAAAGAGAAAAACCCAGTTTATTTAACCAGGGCAATAAAAATGATACACACACATACTGAGAGAAAGTTTCTAAACAGGAGGCCAGTTATTTCTTTAACAATATATTGCAGCATTAAGAAATGCCCAAGGTAACTATAAGGGATAAAGAAAGCAAAGACAGAAAGAAAATAGAAAGGAAGGAAGACAGATGGGTCCTGAGGGAGGGAAGAAGAGTCTGAATATAAGAAATAAGGTAACCCAGAGGGAAATGAGGGTGTGTCAAACTTCAGCTGCAGTGGGAGCCCCTATGAACCTAACCACACTCCACTGCAAAAACTATAGAAGTGGTTTCAACCACTGCTTTCCTCCAGGAATTTTTGTCTTGCATTATCTCACATATGTTCCCTTTATCTAGTGTTACTGACAAATTAAATGAGCCACATGTAAGTGAATTTTTCCAGGCAACTTTAAACTAATTTTTAAAAATTAATTTGTTTAAAATGTGTACACTTCTGATTCAATAACTACATTGACCAAAATTTAACACTGTCTTTTCTGGCTTGAATTTGTGATGCTCAGAGCTGTTACTGATCCATACTTCTAGAATCAAACTTCTGGTGATTTTTCAGTTCATTGACATAATGTCACCTGAAGCAACTTTGCCCCTCTCCCCCCACCTGCTGCTATATTTCTAGGAAGAACTAAAGGAAAATCAGGCCAACTAAATTTGTTCAATCTGTATCTTTCACTTGCATACCATTCTCTGAACAAGGGGTCTCTATGTCTCTTCAAAACAATAAAGGAGGGCTTTCTTTCTTTTTTTTTTTTTTTAGTTGTAGATGGACAATACCTTTATTTTATTTATTTTTACGTGGTGCTATGGATCAAACCCAGTGCCTTCCCCACGCAAGGCGAGCACTCTACCATTGAGCTACAACCCCAGCCCCAAGGGAGCTTTCTTGATGAGGTTTCAAAGGCACAAAATTTTCTTTTGCTTATTTATGCTTCCAGGAAGGAGTATGGATGTGGGAGAGGGAAGATATGACTGAACTCCCCACAGAAGCAGTAATTCATGTATTATACCTTACCCTTATGGGATCCACTGGCCTATTCAAAATTTCCTTTAATAAACCGAGGTCCTCGCGATTCATCGTTGTAACCTCTCCTTCTTTGTACTGTGAGCTGAATCTACCAGCTCTGCCGGCAATCTGCAAGGCTTGGGAGGTGGTGATTGGTTCTATTTCTTTCTCTCCCTTCTCATTGATACTGGGCTTTATAAGAGAGTAAAAAATGATTCTCCTTATGCTCCTGAAATAGAAATGAAAGTGATCCCACAGAATGCATAAACAAGCCTCTGTTACTTGATTCTAATTAAGGCCTATTTGCCATTTTGCTGCCATTTAAAAAATGAAGACAGATGTGATGGAGCACACCAGTAATCCCAGCTACTCAGGAGACTGAGGCGGGAGGGTCACAAGTTTGAGGCCAGTCTCCAAATGAAAAATAAAAAGGACTGGGGATGTAAGTTGGTGGTAGAGCAGCCCTGGGTTCAATCACCAGTACCACATACAAAATGAAATTTTTATTAATAAAAATAAATAAACAAGGAAAACAAGTTTGTTGATGGGGTTGGGGTTGTAGCTCAGTCAGTAGTAGAGCAACTGCCTAGCATGTGTGAGGCACTGGGTTCAGTCCCTAGCACCACATAATAATAAACAAAATCAGGTATCATCTCCATTTATAACGAAAAATATTTTTTAAAAAAAGTTTGTTGGTAATTCTTTTTCTTCCTTTCTTTGGGAGATGGGGGTACCGGGGATTGAAAACTCAGGGACACTCAACCACTGAGCCGCATCCCCAGCCTTATTTTGTATTTTATTTAGAGACAGGGTCTCACTGAGTTGCTTAGTGCCTCACCGTTCCTGAGGCTGGCTTTAAATTCGCAATCTTCCTGTCTCAACTTCCGGAGCTGCTGGGATTAAAGGTGTACGCCAAGGTGCCTGGCTTCTTCCTTTCTTTTTTTCAATAGTAACTGCATTATTATTCAATTAAAAAGAATTACCATTCTTTCTTCAATTAGTATGTTCCAACTAAAAATCATCAAACTGTACACTTACAATAGGTGAACTGTATGGTCTATAAAATATACCTTGATAAAACTACAGAAAATGACTTTCTTTTTTTTTAATATTTATTTTTTAGTTACAGGTGGGCACAATATCTTTATTTTTTATTTTATGTGGTGCTGAGGATCGAACCCAGTGCTTCACACATGCTAGGCAAGTGCTCTACCTCCGAGCCACAACCCCAGCCCAGAGAATGACTTTCTTATAAATAACCCACGGTGTTCTCATACTGCTTTAAAAAGTTAGCTATACCAGGTGTAGTGGTATGTGCCTGTAGTCTCAGCTACTCAGGAGGCTGGGACAAGAGGATTGCTAAAGTCCAAGAAGAGTTTAAGGCCAGTCTGGGCAACACAGTGAGATCCCATCTCAAAAAAAAAAAAAGAGCTACTATTAAGAACTATTAATACTTCTTGTATTCTTAAAGGTATATAGGTGCCTTCATTACCTACGGTGGAATATTGTGGCTTAACATTGTTATCACTACAGAGAATGGCCAGCCCCATATTCAGAATAGGCACTTGGATACCTGCTAGCCAAGAAACTGAAAATAAAGTGAGGTAATGACAGGTTAGCAGAGTAGGGGGCAGCACACCAAAGTCCTAGTACTATATAATATTTTCTTTTTATTCCTTCAATATATATAAGCAAGATAAAACTCAAATCTATACTGTAATGGCCATTCTTCTAAAGTGAAGTGTTTGGTCATTCATCCCAATTCAAAAATTGAAAACATGGGCTGGGGCTGTAGCTCAGTGGCACAGAGCTTGCCCACCATGTGTAAGGCACTGGGTTCAATTCTTAGCACCACATAAAAATAAACAAATAAAGGCATTCTGTCCATCTACAACTACAAAAAAATTTCTTTTAATTGAAAACAAAAACAAACACTGCCATCTAATTCACTGACTATCGATGCTTATTAAAAACAAATTACTTACAAATTAAGTCCCATGCCAATTGCATCTGTAGCGACCAGGATTTTGCACGGATCACTGGGATCATTAAACTTTTTTGCTTGAGCAAGTTTGGTTCCTGCAATAGAACAGTTAGATCAGCACTGTCCAGCCTTACTACATCATGCTAAGCATGCTTAGAAACCCTTGCCCCTGCTCTATTTTTATGAATAAAATTTTTATCATTTCAAAATTTCTTTCTTTATAACCTCAAAGAGTCACTATCCTTTACCTCCATTCCTTTAAGTTGCCCCTCATGCAGCAATGCACTTCCCCAGCATACTAATCTTATTCTGAGGATTCTTATTAGATTTCAGGACAATAATTTGAAGGGAATTACTGGGTCCATATTTTAAGACATTTTGTAAAAAAAATCATAAACTCACCATTTAAAATATAGTCTATGATAACAGCAGCAAATTATAAGAGCTATAAGTAATTAAAATACTCCTACTTCCCACAAGGTTAACTAGAAAAAATATTTATTCCATACGATCTATAAAAAATTACCAATAAACCAAATGGCTTACTTCAATTTTTTTACTATGTTTTCTATACATATTTTAACATATTTGGCAAAAATTAAAAATTTCATATCTTATCACAACAAAAGCCAATAATTACCAGGTGGGAGACTGCCATATATAACAGCTGATTCCAATCCTCGAATTTCAATCTGCCGACTCACAGAATAAATATCATTCTTGCTAAAACAGACAACACAGTCCCCAGGCCGAAGGTTGTCTAAAGATTCCAATGCATGATCCAGCACAGAAATGGGGGTAAGCCTCTTATAGTTTCGAACCTACAATAAAGACATATAGTGGTAAAATAACATATCCAACACAACTTCCTCTAATAAATTAAAAACTTGCCAAGCAATCAACAGCAGCTAAAAACTGATAAGTACCAACGTTTTTCAAGGGAAACAGGAAAGGATTCACTTCAACATTATAAGTGTTACCATCAGCTCTCATTGGCATTTCTAGACTAATAGAATATCATACAGTGTTCCATACATTTTCAAAGCATTTTCACATATATTGATTTTCATGGAAACATGGCAACTTCAGAAGAATTAATTGCTATTTCCATTTCATGAACGAGTAAAATAGAGCCCAATAAAAGACTGAGTCAGAGCTTTTTCCAATTCTAACTATGATCTGCCTCCAAATGCAAAGGTAAAAAAAGCAACACTCAGAATGGAATCCAGAATTTCTTCCACTACTTTCCAGAATGTCTCCCTGAAATTGAGCATAAAACTAAAACAATGGCCAATTAAAAATATTTCTTCATCTTATTATAAAACTCAGGTAAAGAAAAAGAAAAGTAGGAGTTAGAAGGAACCAATTACTTCCTACTCTAGGAATTTGCAAAAGGGATACAAAAGTCCTAATTTACTTATTCTAAACTGATATGCTCAAATCCCAAAGAATTTTGTGAAGATGAAGAATCACCCAGGCCTTGGGTTTGATCTCCAGCATTGGGGGGAAAAAAAAAAGAATGCCTCTTATTCTTGGAAGACTCAGGATGCAATTGCTACTCTGTCAGAACTTCACACTTCACATCTTGAGGTTCAACCAAATATATGAGCTAGTCAACTATTAAAAAAAAAAAAAATGAAGTTTTCTTTTTAGTTAGGTTCTAATTTTGCCACTGCCTAGGGTCTAAAGCCACTGTATAGTTACTCTTAGCTATTTGCTTTGCCACTTGAAAATGAAATATATAATGTAGTACCTCCACTTCCTCCCCAGTTGTATACATAAGCTCAGTGACCAGATCGATAGCAGCAGATTCTCCACATAAATGGATTTCTTCAGCACACAGTCCTGTAAATGCACAATTGGGATTTTTTAAAAAAGACTTAATATAATTAAGTATATAACATTCGCAAAACAAAAATACTTTACCTTTATTAGCTACGTATTATTTTACAAGTCTATCAAATGTTTTCAGCAATGTCTCTTTGATGCAAATGTCAAACCACCACTGCCTTCTAATGGGCTAAGATCATCCCTGTTTTTCTAAATCTCAAAGTTCTAAAGCTGCTCTGACCAAGGTTTCAAGTCTATCAGGGTGAAGTCAGCCAGGACTGGAACGTGGCATCCTGATGCTTAGGGCTCAACATTAGTCCTACACTTGTGTTTTTCAAATTAGGCTCCATGGAATCACAGAGGTTAGGAGCTGGAGGGCAAAAGAAAGTCCAAGTTGCTTACCCCTGGCCAGATCCATTTCCACCTGTTTTATTATAGGCCTAATGCATCAGTATTATTTGAAGAAAGAGTTCAGTTATTTGTTTTTAAATTTGAAAATACCTGCCCTACAACATGCTGATCAAAAATTTACTCCAAAAGCAAGTAGTAGAATAATCATTCACATCGGACATCAAGAATTCCATATTACCAGGACCCTACCCTAAATGAATAAATAAAAAATAAAAAGCCACGGCCACAAGATTTTTACTTCAGCATCATCAATAATAGGGAAAAATGTTCCAACTCTGCCATCTTGTGATGTACATCAGTAATCCCAGTGACTGGAAGCTAAAACAGGGGATTACAAATTCAAAGCCATGCTCAGCAACTTACGAAGTCCATAAACAACTTAGCAAAACCCTGTCTCAAAAAATAAAATGGCCTGGGGATGTGACTCAGTGGTTAAAATGCCTTTAGATTCAATCCCTGGTACCAAAAAAAAAGTTCAACTTTAAAGAACAAATTCTGGTACAGCTCTTCAATGGAGGAGATGCAGTTATATTAACAATATGAAAAAATGGCCATGAAATAACAGAACTGAAAAAGAGAAAGATACAAAATTAAATGTTCTGAAAATACCACACACATAAGAAAAAGAAATGGCACAAAATATTAATAGTGATTGTGTAAATGTGGTAAGACTTGAACTTTTTTTTTTTTTGCCTTGGGGTACTGCAAATTGAACCCAGGGCTCTGTGCATACTAGGCAAGCGCTCCTCCACTGAGCTACATCCCCAGCCAAGAGACTTAAACATTTTGACTTTAATTACACAGCTATACCTATTTTGTAATAGTAAAAGTAGATTTCCCATTATTGAAATAGTATTTCAAGGATGTGGGTCAAGTGGTAGCGCGCTCGCCTGGCATGCGTGCGGCCCGGGTTCGATCCTCAGCACCACATACAAAACAAAGATGTTGTGTCCGCCGAGAAAAACTAAAAAATAAATATTAAAATATTCTCTCTCTCTCTCTCTCTCTCTCTCTCTCTCGCTCTCTAAAAAAAATAATAATAATAATAAGATGTCACCCTTAGAAGAAACTGAATAAATGATACCAGGGATCTTTGTGTATCATTACTTAGAATTTCAATAAAGAGCTAAGATTTAAAAAAAAGAAATAGTATTTCAAAATTCAAAAACTCACACTTCACTGACTTTTATAGAAGACTTTTGTCAGAAAAAGGGGATCTAACAGACTACTTGGCAATGACAAGCAGATATACAAATAGTGCAGATGTCATAAAGCCCAGGCTTGATGCATTAAGACCACCAACCTAGAAGTGCTCTGGTCCAGGCCCATCCTCTGGCTGGATCTCGAATCATCTGAATTTCATCAATTACAGCCACTTCATCTTAAAATGAAAAAGTTATCATGAGCAATACAATCTACTTAAATAGTATTATAAACAAATCCAACATCAAAATTCAAGCTTTCATCACTACCACCATCACCATCATCCTTCATTATGGGTCTCTTGGGCTGGCTTGTACCAAGAATTTTATAATTGTATTTCATTTAATTCTCAAAACAACTCTAGGAAGTTAAGTACTTCCATTATCTCCATTTGACAAAAGAGTAAACTGAGGCCCAGAGAAGTTAAGTACTTGCCCAAAGTTAGACAGTAAGTGAAATCCAAACTTAGGTCATCTCGCTCTGAAGATCATACTCTTAACCACTGGAAGACACCATTCTCTGTAGTAAGCAGTTCCATTTACCTTATTTTCACCAACCTCAGAGACTGCCTTGAAAATCTGCCTAAAAAGAACCACCATGGGCTGAGGTTGTGGCTCAGTGGCAGAGCACTTGCCTAGCACATGTGAGGCAGTGGGTTCAATCCTCAGCACCACATTAAAAAAACTTACTGTGCCCATCTGACAACTAAAACAAAAACAACAACAACAAAAAAAAAAAAAACACCACATTGCTGGGTTCAATGGTGCACACCTGTAATCCCAGCAGCCTGGGACTTGAGGCAGAAGGATCTCACATTCCAGGCCAGCCTCAACAATTTAGCAAGGCCCTAAGCAACTCAGCAAGACGCTGTCTCTAAATAAAATATGAAAAAGGGATGGGGATGTTGGCTTAATGGTTAAGTGTCCCTGAGTTCAATCAAAGGTTACACCATGCAAAAAAAAAAGGTGGGACTAGGTTCGATGGCGCACGCCTGTAATCCCAGCTACTCAGGAGGCTGAGGCAAGAGGATCCTAAGTCCAAGGCAACCTCAGCAGCTTAGCAAGATATGTCTCAAAATAAAAAGCATTGGGGATAGCACAGCAGTAAAGTGCCCCTGAGTTCAATCCCTAATACCAAATAAAATAAAATGCAAAAACACCCAAACATACATAAAAGAAAAAAGGGAACTAACTTCTATAAGTAAGCATGACAATATTTGGTACTTATTACTAGTGGCAGGTAGCATTTGTTGTACTATTCTTTTTCCAGATATGGAATGTTTTTTCACAACAAGAATCATATTTAAGGGCTGTGGCTGCAGCTCAGTGGCAGAGTGCTTGCCTAGCATGTGTGAGGCACTGGGTTCGATCCTTAGTACCACATAAAAATAAACAAATAAAGGCATTCTCTCCATCTTCAACTACAGAAATTTTTTTAATTAAAAAAATCATATTTCACAAGTACAACCATATTTTAAAATAAAAAATACCAAGTCATAGTTTTTCAATGGTGTTTACATACATGGTGTGGTGACACTGCACATCTCAACAGTACAAGCAACATGGGCAGCCTGTTTCCCATCTGCTTCAACTGTCACACGCTCTTCACCTGTCACCAAGTCACATGGCACACCCTGAAATGACAGAAAGAAACCCAGTCGTATTTCTACCTTGAAAACAACAGCAAAAAGTAGTTTTGTGTGTCTATTCTCTTCATTACCAAGGAATTTATTTAACAGCTGAAATAGAAGTATTCCCAATGCCTTTTTCTTTTCTTTTTTATAGAAAATGAAATAAGAGCTACTTTCTTATATAACTTAGGTAAAACTGGAAATATCTCCAACCAGTTAAATCCTTAATAAGAACATGAGAAACTAAAGCAAATTCATTTTTAAAAAATTTATATATATACACAGTTGTTGATGGACCTTTATTCTATTTATTTATTTATATGAGATGCTGAGAATCAAACTCAGTGCCTCACTCATGCCAGGCAAGCACTCTATCACTGAGCCACAAACCCAGCCCACAGTTTAACTTTTTAACTTTGTTTCTGTACTATTGGAGTTGTTAAAATGAACATGATTGTTTCTATACTCAAGAATACTAAATGGGGGCTGGGGATGTGGCTCAAGCGGTAGCACGCTCGCCTGGCATGCGTGCGGCCCGGGTTCGATCCTCAGCACCACATACAAACAAAGATGTTGTGTCCGCCAATAACTATAAATAAATAAATATTAAAAAATTGAAAGAAAAAAAAAAGAATACTAAAAATTAGCTGGGTGTGGTGGCACATGCCTGTAATCCCAGTGACTGGGTAGGCTGAGGCAGGAGAATCATGAATTAAAAGCCAGCTTCAACAACTTAGCAAGGCCCTAAGTAACTTAGCAAAATCCTGTCTCAAAATTAAAAATAAAAAAAGGCTAGGAAGCCAGGCACAGTGGCGCACACCTGTAATCCCAGTGGCTAGGGAGGCTGAGGCAAGAGGATCACAAGTTCAAAGGCAGCCTCAGCAACATCAAGATGCTAAGCAACTCAGTGAGATCCTGTCTCTAAATAAAATAAAATAGGGCTGGGGATGTGGCTCAGTAGATCACTGCCCTTTGAGTTCAATCCCAGGTACCAAAAAACTGGCTAGGGATGTGGCTCAGTGGTTAGGTGCCCCTGGGTTCAATCCCTGTAACAACAACAAAATATATATATATTTTTTTCCTAAAAATAAAAAAATTATAAAGCATACTAAAAATAAAATTTAAGACTGTAACGACCTCCTAATATACTTCCTTGAGAAGGAAATACCAATGCTGTGGTATAAGAGAGTGCTCAAACAACTGGCTTGCCCACTACTGAGGGGTTCCCCAGAACAAAGGACTTTGAGTAAAGTTCAGTCAAACTTGGAGGGTTGGTCACCACCCCTAAGTGATCTGAGTCTAATTATAAGAGAATATCAGACAGATACAAACTAAGCAACAGTTTGCAACAAAACTGACCCGTCGTCTTCTAAAAGTACAAAAGTTATAAAAACAAAGGAAGACAAAGGAATTATCCCTGATTAATGGAAACTAGAGACAATTTAGAACAGTGGGAAACCTCAAATGGAGTCCTGGATGGGAGTGACAGGGTGCTACTGGACAACTGACAGATTCTGAATATGGACTGTATATTAAATAATAGTATTCTATCATATTCAATGATTTATCCTGCTTCAGATAAATATCCTGTGGTTATATTAAAAAAAGTTTTTGTTCTGAGTAAATACGTTTTCAAATATTTATGGATAGAAGAATTATGTACCCAAATCATTAAAAAAAAATACAAATTACCTAACCAAAACTGGTTAATCTCTCATTGTAAAGTTTTAATAAAATAATGAGTCAAAATGTGACCCATTTAGTGAAATGATGTCTCAGTGATTACAGGGTTTAGTCCTTTCAGTTTTGAACAAGTAGTTTCAGCCAGTTGTGGCAGTGCAAACCTATAATTGCAGTGACTCAGGAGGCTGAGGCAGGAGAATTGAAAGTTTGAGGTCAGTCTCAGCAATACTTAGTAAGGCCCTAAGCTACTTAGTGAGATCCTGTATCAAAATAAAAAATAAAAAGGACTAGGGATATGCTCAGTGATTAAGTTTCCCTAGGTTTAATCCTCAGTACCAAATAAATAAATAAATAGATGAAGCAAGCTGGGATCTGACAGCTTGAATTCAAGGTTATTTATATGCCACTCTGCATTTCTCTCTAGGCATAAAATATTCTACAATGTTTTATTCATTCCTTCTAAAGTGTTCACTTTTCTACATTTTACTATCTCTAATATCAGGATGCATATTAAGCACTGAGAGCATGCCAGAGCTCAATTAGCAGCATCTTCTCCTTTCTTTTGTTTTCTTCTTTTTTGGTACCACAGATTGAACTCAGAGGTACTTAACCACTGAGCCACATCCCAGCCCGTTTATGTTTTATTCTGAGACAGAGTCTCTTTAAGTTGCTTAGGGCCTCACTCAGTTGTTGAGGCTAGCCTCAAATGTGAGATCCTCCTGCCTCAGCCTCTTGAGCTACTGGGATTACAGGTATATACTGCCACACTGAGCATCTTTTCTTTCTTAATTACACATATAATAATGGCACCTCTTACAATCAATAGTTTCCTAGATGCAAAGAAATAAGGTATAATTTGTTACTAGTAAACTACTACATCTTTCTTTTCCCCTTGTCCAACTTCAACCCCAAAAGAAAATGGAACAAGAAAAAAAGAGCAAATATTTGGTGATATACTGACAGCAGCATTACTCTTTTCAAAGATCTCATGTGCCAGTAATTTCAAGGGGCCACAATATACTCCAGATTTTGCTGACAAGTATTTCTGAATTGCATGGTAAGTTTTTCCACTGTTTGTGGGGCCCGAATGGAATATTATCTTCCGCCGTATGGCTCTGGCTTCTGAGTACCTAAAACATGAATGGGTAAACAGTTTAATTTTATTAACCCCAAAATCCACCCTAGCAAAGATACCAACTGAAAAAAAAAATTTTTAATTTAAATAAATAAATAGATAACACCCCACAAAAACATCCTCCTAACATTCACAGATATTTTGAAAAATTAAGTAATTGGTTTCATATGCACATTCAAATAATTACCGATTTCCAAGAACAGTGTTAACTAAACGGAGGACAAAAAACCCCCAATACAAATTAATGTCTTGGGTATTTTCCCCACTGCATAAACCTCTTTTCTTCCAGAGTTACTAAATTTAAATTGCTATCTGCTCCACAGATATGTTCACATCATTCCCACAGCTCTAAATATGTGAACCTAAAAGCAAACGTTCCCAGGTCTCTGAATTCAATATAAACTATTATAATAACTGAGCCTCCTGCTTCTGGTCCTGATGGCTGCCTGGTAGTGAGTGGACTTGTGCTGTCTCTATAAGCAAATACAAAACTGGGCAAAATATATGCAGCAACTATTTACAAACGTGTGGAACAGGTGCAACCCCTGAAAGGGGGGGACACTGGAGATGATCGAAGCAGGGCACAGGGAGGTGGACCCCGAGCAGAGTAAGAAAGTCCCACAGAACAGAGCATAGAAGTCAATGCAGAGCTGCGGAAGCACCTAGAATCTGAAGGGCAGAATGTGGAAGAGCAGAAAGGGTGAAGGAAGTAGGGAGCCCTGAAGTTTCTGCAATGGTTTCATGTGGGTCCTTGGCCACAGCCTGGCTGAAGGTAAGAATTGGCAGGGCCTTCAAGCTTAGCAAGGGTCTGAGCAGAAAGCTTCTGAGAGGTCTTGAAGTGCTAGAAGATGCTGCTGTTCCACCCACAGGGGAGAGAATTCAGTATTAACACCCTGGCATTCAGCTGACTCCAGGAAGGCCACAGCTCAGATGCAAGGCTAACACCCTACTCAAGCTGCTTCAGTTCTGCCCTAGGAAAATACAAGCCCACGCTTGAACAGGATCAAGGGGAAACAGCCTAACAGAATGAACAGTACTGTTCAGACTCCTTATAATTTGCCACCTAGCATATGTTACAAAAACACATAATAATAGTCTTCCCAAATTAGAAACAGAAAATTTCAAATGAAGGACTAACCAGTTCGGTGGTAATCTCAAGTCACTGATCTTACGTAGATCATCCTTACATTCCAACACAGGAAATATTTGTTTGGCATGTCTCAAGAAAAATGGAAATAAATCATCCACATGAGCTAGAAAATAAAACACAGATTAACATGGGCAATCTGGGGCTGGGGTGTGGCTCAGAGGTAGAGGGCTCTCCTAGCATGCGTGAGGCACTGGGTTTGATACTTAGCACCACGTAAATATAAAGATATTGTGTCCACTTATAACTAAGAAAAAAAGTTTTTTTTAAAAAATGGGCAATCTACTTGCTATCTACAACCAAAAGAAGCAAAATCTTTTTTCTTATTGAGGTAAATTAGGGGAGCATGGCCAAGATAAGAGAAGTCCTAAAAGAGGAGACCCCATCCTTTTCTAGAACTTTCTTTTTCTTATTTTTTCATCCAAATTCCACTTATATTTTTAGGAAAAAAAAAAGAAAAGTAGCTGCCAACAACTACATTCTACTATCCCAGTATAACTGGCAAAGATTAGCACTGTTCTTTTTTCTTAATTTAACAAGAATAAAGAATGGTATTGCCAGCCTATAATCTCAGCAGCTCAGGAGGCTGAGGCAGGAGGATCTCAAATTCAAAGCCAGTCTTAGCAAATTCAAAGCCAGTCTCAGCAACTTAGCAAGGCCCTGTCTCAAAACAAAGAAGGGGTGGGGGAATGTAGCTCAGTGGTTGAGTGTCCCTGGGTAGTTCAATCCCTGGTACAAAAAGATAAATATATAAAACTATATAAATATTATATAGATAGATAGATAGATGGATCCCAATGGAATATTATCCATTTTATTTTATACGTGTGTGTGTGTGTGTGTGTGTGTGTGTAAAACTAGCCAGATATGGTGGCACATGCCTATAAGCCCAGATAGTTGGGAGGCTGAGGCAAAAGGATTGCAAATTCAAGGTCAGCCAGAGCAACTTGGTGAGACTCTACCTCACAATAAAATTAAAAGGGCTGGAGATGTATCTCAGTGGTAGAGCCCTTGCCCGGCATGCACAAAGCCCTGAGTTTAATACAAAGCACCACCAAATAATAATAATATGTGAGTATTTATATAATTCCATATATGGAATAAAATGATGTTCTTACTTTTTGTTTTTTCTTTTATAGCAAGAACTTTATCCTGACATGATGGAGAAATAAGCCAGTGGCAGAAACAGGTAGAATATGCTATGAACTAATCCTATCTTGTGTGAGAGCTCATTCCATTGTGGCCCATGTTAATACACAGCAGAAAGAAGATGACAGATCAAGGTCCCAGTCTAAGACATTCTCATGACTAGCTGAGGGACCCAATATAAAAGCCAAGTGATTACAAAACTTCCTATCCAAGCATTGAAATATTTACAAAGGATATTACCAAGACATATTCTAAAACAAATAAGCCATGCTAGAGAAATAAACATGAAGTATGGAATAAACAGAAAGTACATTCAAGAGAATTTTCAAAATTCTCTAAAGACTTGCCTGCACTGAAGCAAATGTCATTCAGAACAATGTGAATGTCCACATCCAGGGAATGAGATTGCATAATATAATTTCTAAAGCTTATGAAAGCTTGGTGGAAGAGACGAGCTGCAGAAAACAAAATCAAAATATGTAAGGCTTAGTTTTCATTTCAGTTCTCCTTTTAAAAGCACAAAATGCACCACACCAAATTCAAAGTATCTCTATATTTTTACTATGTGGATAATTCAGCTGGTTTAATTTGATCTAGGCTAAAGCTGAAAAACTAGCACAACAGGAAGGAAAGGTGCCCAGGCAGCTCCTATGCTGTGTGCTCTGGCTCAACAGGTGAGCCTTGCCAGCCTCCTGCCCTCGAAGAAGCAATGGTCAGAGGCTTGTCTCCAGACCACAACTGTACTCCTACTTTCAGGGCATAAGAGGTCCCATAGAACACTGAAAAAGCTATACAAAGCTACACAAAGTAATACCACATCTCTATAAAGATATTACATGTCTTACCATCAAGTCCATAATCAGCACCCAGTTTCTGAATTTCTTTCCTCTTATAAAACTTATCTAAGATCTTCTTTACTTCGTCTAGAAGAAAGACATAAAAATTCAACATTCATTTCATATTTTAGAGAAATGACCAAATGGCAGAAGAAACTTGAAATCATGATACGTAAGAAGTTGAAGATTTTAGTTGATCCTCTTTATGGGTTAATATGCAATGAAATATCTAGAAAAAAATAATAGTCAAATCAGGCAATATTCCTGTTATACTGCAGAGGAAATGGGCAAGGTGTAATGGGCTCAGAACTAGGTTCTAATTTTTATCAAGCCATTTTTAGATAACCATGCCGTTTCATTTACTTACAACCATTCTGCATATTAATAGTAAACAGGGGTCTGGGGTTGTAGCTCAGTGGTAGAGCACTTGCCTCCAACATGTAAGTACTGGGTTTGATCCTCAGCACCACATAAAAATAAACAAACAAAATAAAGATATTGTGTCCATGTATAACAACAAAAACAACAAACAGTAAACAGCTAAAATAAATGCAGAAAAGACAACCAATTTGGCAAGGATCAGATCATCATGCTTTTATGCAAAAGACTAAAGAACTGGGATGATCTTTAGTTTGAAGATGATGATTTTATGAAGAACACATTCCTCTCATTTTGTTCTAGATGGCATAAGTTAACTCAGTGGGAGGTAAAGGAAGCTGATTTCAATGGAATTTACATAAGAACTTCCGAATAATTAGAATAATTTTTCAGACCCAAAATCACAAACATAGACACTTTATTAATTTCCTCTACAAGAGACAAAAACATCAATCTTTTGACTGAATGTCAGGTCCCTGGAAAAGCCAAACAGATTCCAGGAAGGAAAATGAAAATTAAATACTTAAAAGGTACTATAATACCACCTAAAATCTATGACCACGGTAGGCTAAGGAAGGTTAAGCAAATTATCTAATACGAATGTTAACAATTATATAGCACGAAGCAGGTTTGTGTTCCTGAAGACTATGGTACAATAATTGTTTGGGCCCAAGAGGATATTTGGCCAGGAAAAGGTCAAGATGGCTAAAGGCAAAGCCATAGAAAGGAATAGATACAAAGGGGAATCCAAATTACATGGTTAAGCAGATGATGATGAATCAGACTTCTTTCTCCAAAGAAACATTTGCTGCACTGTGCTACCCTCTCCCGCCCTCAGGATCCCACCAAACAGTTTTTCAGGCTGAGCTGCCTGCCCCTGCCTTACAGGGTGCTTGCTCAGCTATAAAGAACAGGTTTGGGGTTGCCCAGGATCCTTGCTTTTAATTTAGCATAGACCTTGGAGAACTAGCTGCTTCATTGCTAACTGTTCTGACAAAGAAAATCGCCAAGAGAAATCACATGCAAAGTCTCAGCATCCCCAACCATTCAAACTGGCTTACTCAACACCCTCAGAAGTATGAAATCTTGCAGCAGCTGAACTCTAGTTAAAGCTGCAAGGTTCACAAAATAATTTAAGGAAAATGAAATTCCAGCAGTTGATCTCCATCTGTCTTTCTCCAATTTATAATAAACCCCCATTTACATGATGTGGGATGTAGAAATCTATAGCGGAACAAGCTGGGTCTTCTGCGAATTTGTCATCAAATGCCAAGGAAAAAAAACAAGGAGCGGGGTTTGTTTTTACTTTTAAAAATGCCTCAAAATAAATAAATAAAAATGTCTCAAAACTTATTCTATTATAAAGGGACAAAGCTGAACAGTAGGAAAGAATTCCCCATTAAGAGCTCTCCTGATGGCTTCTGCAAGAATCATAGAGATGTCAATCACCTGTAATTTGGAGCAATGCTTCACCTTGACCTCCCGGGGTATGGTATTGGTAATCACTACTGCTTCAAAACTTGCACTGTGATGCAAGAAATGACTGGGCCAGAAAAGATTCCATGAGTCAAGACAAACTCTGGTGGCTCCAGCTGAGAAGTTTGTCAGCCACAAGGCAAACTGTGCCACAAGTGTCAGTCATGTCATCCACAAGGATAGCCACTGGAGTCTTCATTCCCACCGACTAGCACCATGCAGTCCACATCACTGGCCTTCTGTTGCTAGTGAATCTAGACAACGTCCACATTCAACCAGTCTGCAAGGTCACACTCTTGGCTCCATCAGCATCAGGTGACACAATAGGGCAGTTCCTCCACTCAGAGATATTCTCCCTAATTCAATTCAGGATACCCAGCTCTGCATACAAATTGTCCACTGGGATATTTAAAAAGCCCTAAATTTGAGAAGCACGAAGATCCATGGTGATAATATGACCTGCACCAGCTACAGACAGCATATTTTCGACAAGCTTGGCTGAGAGTGGAGCCTGCTTCTTGTCCTCCTTATCGTGCCAGTCATCAGGGAAACATGGGATGACTGCAGCAACTGAGCTGACTGAAGTGATCTTGCAGGCATTAACCATGATCAAAAGCTCCACTAGATTGTCAAGGATTTCAACATGATACTCTGAACGTAGACATCTTCTCCACTTATACTTTCACCAATTTCCACACAGGTCCCCCTGGTTGCTGAATTTCTTAGTCACCACCTTGCCTAGCTCCAGGCCCAGGGGGTCAGCAATTTTCTGGGATTGGTCCCAATGGGAGGTGGCGCTGAAGATTTTGATATTCAGCATTTTGGGTAACTATCCTAGGCACTCTTCACTCAGCGATCACTGTTGCTGCAAAGACCAGAAGTGAGCCCCACAGACTTAATACTATCCACCTTGCATTGCTTCTCTGCCATCTGACATTCCACCTGGCTCTAAATTACCCAGGGTCGGGGAGGCAGGATCAGTGGGGAAGCCCATATCCCATCCACCTGAATTAGCTGAGCCTGGGGCCTAGAACAATTTTAAAAAGGGGTTGCCTCACAATAGTGAAAATTCCTTGTAGCTCTGGGTTCCATCCCCAGTACTGCAAAAACAAAAAAGTAACAGAAATTTCTGTGACACCAGGGAGGTTGAATTAGACACCTGTCTGGGTGACATACCACTATGAATAAATAATTTACCCTGAACCCAAGGGCACTCCACAACTAAGCCACATCCCCAGCCCTTTTAAAATTAATTAATGGTACTGGGGATTTAACCCAGGGACAATTTACCACTCAGTCACATCCTTAGACCTTTTTATTTATTTATGTATTTTAAACTTTTTTTTAAGAGAGAGAGAGAGAGAATTTTAATATTTATTTTTTTAGTTTTCAGCAAACACAATATCTTTGTTTGTATGTGGTGCTGAGGATCGAACCCGGGCCGCACGCATGCCAGGTGAGTTCGCTACTACTTGAGCCACATCCCCAGCCCTAGACCTTTTTATTTTGAGACAGAGATTCACTAAGTTGCTGAGGCTGGCACTGATTCTCCTGTCTCATTCTCTCAAGTCAATGGGATTACAAGCATGCTGTGCACTGGCCTATTTTTACATTCTGAGGCAGGGTCTCACTAAGAGAAGAGACCCTGTGATCTTTCTGCCTTGGCTTGCAGAGTAGCTGGGACTACAGGCATACACCACAATGCCTGGCTAAATCAATAATTTGATAGGAGAAAATATTTTAAATTTATTTCACTGAGATTGTATTAAGGTCATACATGTTAAAATACTATCGTATCATTCTGTAGAGATAAACATTTTATTGACCCAGTCACACACTACACATTTCTGAGAAAGGCCAAAAGTGAGGATGGTTTCCTGCCCATGAAACACAGGCCAAGTGGCCTGTATTTTTACCTCCCAGAAAAGTACCAACCAGATTTTCATGCAGTCATGACATACTCAACACTCACTGAAATTAAGCCTGAACACAGCATCCTACTAACAGAACTGTATTTTATATAATAGAATTTCAAAATTGCTGGTCTAGCCACTAGATTTGCCCACACCTAAATATAAGATCCACAGATACATGTACACACATGTACATACTCATTCCCTGGAGTGGATCACAGGCAAGTATCATGGTATTTCTGGGCTTCTGTTTCTTTGTATCTAGTGGGGGCAACAGTTTCTTTGTGGGGGGGAAAAAAAAATCAGTGACCAAAAAAAACGGTTAGAAAAAAGCATATGAAATTGCATGAAAAAATTCTGCTAACCTATAAACTACAGATGGAGCAAATCTATTTTCTGAGACTAATATGCAGTATTATGTTATGATCCAGATACATATCCAAAGGAATTTAAATCAGCACGCAAAGACATATTTGTGCTTCCATGTTCACTGAAGCACCATTTGCAACAGTTAAGCTATGGAAGCAATCTAGGTGCCTATACCTATTTTATATGTGGAACATATTTATATATACAAACATATCAAAACATCACATTGGGGCTGGGGATGTGGCTCAAGCGGTAGCGTGCTCATCTGGCATGCGTGGGGCGCTGGGTTCAATCCTCAGCACCACATAAAAATAAAATAAAGATGTTGTGTCCACCGAAAACTAAAAAATAAATATTAAAAAATTCTTTCTCTCTCTCTCTCTCTCAATAAAACAAACAAAACAACAAAAAACATCCCATTGTACATAACTATATACAACTATTTATATTTATGTACATAAGTGTGTGTGTGTGTGTATATATATATATATATATATATATATACACATATATAGTTGTATATAGTCATATAGCTTTATGTAGTTATATAAACATATATGTGTAAATACACACACACACACATATGACAAACATTATTCAGCCCTAAAAATGAAATTGTTATTTGAGACAACATGGAAGAATCTGGAGGACATTATACTAAATGCATCACTTATACATGAAACCTAAGAAAGCCAAGCCAGAGAAGTAGAGATGGAGTGGCAGGGTAGGTTGAAGGTGAAAGTGAAGACATTGACCAAAGGGTACAAAATTTCAGACACACAGAAGGAGTAAGTTTGAGCAATCTATTATCCAGACAGGAAACTATAATAAATGTTATTATATGTTTCAAAATTGCTAAGAGTAGATTTTAAATGTCATCACCACACATAAAAAATAAGTGTGGGCCATTTCCTCTCCCGGAAGAGGTCTGCTCCATACCTCTTAGGGTGTCACTTCCATTTCACTAAATAAATCTTTTATGCTTTTCTTTTTAAAAAGTGTGTGAAGAATTTGTTAATTAGCTTGATTTTATCATTCTATGACACAAACATATCAAAATATCACATCATACACCATAACTATAAACAACTATTTCTCAAGTTAAATTCTGACTGGGACTGGAGCTCAGTGGCAGAGTGCTTGTCTAACATGTGTGAGGCACTGGGTTCAATCCTTAGCACAGAATAAAAATAAACAAATAAAATAAAGGCATGATGTCCATCTACAACTACAAAAAAAGTTTTTGTTTTTTTGTTTTTAACTCTGAAGTGAAGGCAGTACAGGGGTACTCAAGCAGAAGCAGTAGTATGTTTCGTACACCTGGAGCAGAGGCACATGTCATACATATGGCTTAAGGATGGAAAGTGGGAGACAATGAAGCTGGGAGAGAGAGGCCAGGTCAGACAGGGTCTTACCAGCCATATTAAGACTTGGGGACTATTTTAAATTACAGACAATGAAAAAATATAATACAATTTTTTTAGCAGAAAAGCAACAGGTTCAATCTTTTTAAAAGAACATTCTGATTGCAGGCAGAAAATAGACTAGAAGAAAAATAGACTAGAAGCCAGGCATGGTGGTGCACACCTATAATCCCAGCAGTGTGGGAGACTGAGGCAGGAGGACCGAGAGTTCAAAGCCAGCCTCAGCAACTTAGTGAGGCCCTAGGCAACTCAGTGAGACCCTGTTCTAAACAAAATACAAAAAAGGGCTGGGGATGTGGCTCAGAGGTTAAGGACCCCTGGGTTCAATCCTAGTACCAAAAAAAGAAAATAGAATAGAGAGATCAAAGGTATTCCAGGAGACATGTAAGGAGTTATTTCAATGATCCAGTCCAAGATAGAAGCTAAAAATTTAAGTTGGCTGCAGTGGAGAAGAAGTGAATTGACTCAATATTTATCAGACAGAATCAACAAGACTTGTCAACTGGACCTTCTGTTAAATATGGGAGGTGAGGAATGGGAAGAATCAAATCCACCAAGTTGTTTATCTTAGCACCTGGAGCAGGTCTTGAACATGCTAGTATAAGGAGTAAGCAATCTGAATGGAGCCACCTGGTAGGCAGCTATATAAATGGAGGATGAATGAGAGGTCCATGTCGGAGACAATGGTCAGAAGGGAGTACTGATTTTAGGGGAGAGGAGTACTGATTTTAGGGGAGAGGGAGAAAATGAGACACTTAATAGCAAAAGTATGAAGTATGGCAAAATGATGTGGAACAGAACCTTGAAGTAGTACATCAACTTATCAGATAAGAAGCAGGCAAAAGAGATGGAAATGTATCAATATTTGAATATAAAAAAGTTAGCCAAATTACCTCACACAAATTACTGTATGCCTTCAGTAAATGGGAAATTGTTGTTTAATGGGTTAACTGTTGTCTGAGTTTCAATTTTACAAGATGAAAATGTCCTAGAGGTCATTTTCACATGTGAATGAACTTAACATGACTAAACTATACATATAAGAATTATTAAGATGTTAAATGTTATGTTTTTACAATTTAAAAATAAGCAGAAATAATACAATTACATTATTAAAATTGTTGTTAAAACGATATAGACCCCAACTCCAAGTAAAGTGAAAGGCCTTGCTGAGCACTGGCCTGGTGGTATATGCTTGAAGTCCCAGCTCCAGAGGACTACTGAGCCAACAAGGCAGGAGGATCACTTGAACCCAAAAGTTTGAGGCCTCCTGGGCAACATAATAACACCGTATCAAAAAAAAAAAAAAGGAAAAGAAAGAAAGAAAAATAACATAGACATGAGGTGCATCATATACTATACTGCTCTGAAAAACAAGATTTGACCCAAAGCATGCTATAATCCATATTTTACTTTTAGTTTTATTTATTTGGTACTGAGGATTGAACGCAGGGTGCTTTACCACTGATCTACATCCCCACCTTTTATAAATTTTGAGTCGTTCTCACTAAGTTGCTGGGGATCTGGCTAAGTTGCTGAGGCTAGTCTCAAACTTGAGATTTTCCTGCCTCAGCCTCCGGAGTCCCTGGGATTACAGTGTGCACCGCATCAAGCTGAAATTTGTATTCTCAAATTACAATAGGGGACGTACTGTTGCTAGTCGGAGTAACTCCCTGAAGACAGTCTGGAAAGCTAGTGCCCGGCAGAGTTGTGGCATCCC